AAAACCAAGCTCCCTGCCCTCGAGGCGATGCCCACTCACAGGGACCCTTAAGGGCAGGGTAGCACTGCCCCCTTTGAGTGTCTGAGACTAAAACTCGTTACGTGCATAGAAAGCCCCATCTTTTCTCCCTAGGAGCGCCTGGTGGTTTCAAACTGCTGGCCTTGTGATTCGCACTCCAACACATAACCATGACCCCACCAGGGCTCCCACATAATAGGGTGGTTTGTTTGTTGTTTGTTTTTTGCAGCAATGCTTTTAAGAGCAAAAGATTAGAAACCCTGTTGTCGCTCGTGCTTTTGTACCAGAACTACCACAGGTAGATAGATGGCTGTAAGAAACCAATGTATTTTGTCACGGTTCAGGAGGCTCAGTCTCCTTGTTTATGTGTAAGTGAGTGGTTAAATAAACAGCAGGAAAGAAACACTGCTCTACAGTGCCTTCCCTGCAAGTTCAAGGTCTGCAAAAGCTAATAACCCAGAGTCTGTGTGTTGACAGTTTGGCTCCCCACGTCATTTGATGGCAAGATTCAACTGCAGTTGTCTGAGACCTGTTTTGTCATGGTGCACCTACCAGCACTTCTCCCTCTGCTCCTTGCTAGTACTGTGTGGGTTTTAGTTGTTTTGTTACTTTGCGTTTAATTGCATTTCCTAATGTCAGTGGTGTAGTGGTTATGAGTTGGGCGGCAATCCACATGGTTGGCAGTTCAAAACCAGCAGCTCCAAGGGACAAAAACGGCTTTCTACTCCCATATACAGTGACAGTCTCAGAAACCCACAGGAGGTCACTATGAGTCAGCATTGACTTGATGGCAGTGAGAATTTTAATATCAAAGGGAGCCCTGTGATGAAGAATGGAAACATCTGTTAATCATGGACTGGAACATGGAGTTATTACAGGTGCTTGTGCCTGGCATGCCTGCGAGATGTCCTGCAGAAGACAACAGTGTGGGCACTACCACCATATAGGACTTGAGACTAGAAAGATCGACCCTTGACATTTTATACTAGCAGTCTTGAGAACAACTAATAAAAAATAGGGAAACTTTATTGAAAAGAGAACTCTTAACCATGTTTGAATTAAGTGGATTGGCAGTGAGGAAGTAAATGATACCCCTGATTGTTTTGTCGATCATGAAACAAACTTGAGTAGATGATGAAGAACTGCTACAGAAAATGGCAGTCATTTTCTACATTTAATACAAAATATGTCAGTTTGAAAGAAAAGAACATTCGGAACGTTAGGAGGAGGTATGATGAAGATATCTGAAAGGTGATGGCGACACAGTTTTAAATTGCCCTGAATGACTTTACTACTGTACCATGAAAACCCCCTGCGTGCTGAGTAATTATGCAGAGGGTGCAGTAGCCATTCTTTCTTCCGGAATGATGCCAACAAGATACAAAAATGCTGTGGTGGTCTCAGACCATTGTCTTAACTCCGCAAGGGAGAGGAGAGAGAACTATTGAAGTCTGCATCAGCCAAAGGATGACCCCTCTGAGGCAGAATTTAGTGTCACTCCTCTACCTAACCTGTTCACTACATTGCCTCAGCCGTCCCTCCCCGGCACACTCTGCTTCTCTGCTGGCTTCAGTAGTTCGTTGTGATGGCCACACGAAACTGACAGACCATACTCACAGTTAGGGGACTATTAGGGAAGTAGCAGATCACAATTCAGGATCACAATCAACAGACCACCGAGGCTGCTTTCTGCAAAGTCAACAGTTCGAAACCACCAACCCCTCTATGGGAGAAAGATGAGACTTTCTACTTCCATAAAGAGTTACAGTCTCAGAAACCCATGGGGGCAGTTTTACCCTTGATGGCCACTACTAGTCTGACTTGACTCGATGGCACTACGTTTAGGTTTGCTTCATGTTTTTTGTTAACAGTATAGATCTAAGTCTGTAACAATTCAGGCATACAGTTTCTCATATTAAACTTAGTAATGCTTGAAACAATGTTGATAAATTTTCAGGCATAAATGCTTGACAAAATTTTAGCTGACGGCGAGGTTTGAAAATGAGCCTGCAGATAAAGACTTTGAAGGATTCCGTGTCACCATTGAGAAGATGATGCCCAACTTCCTTCGTTAATGATAACACACCCAACAGCAAGCTTAGATCAGTTAGAGAAACTGACGTTGAAGACCTGCTGAGCCCAGGTCCTGATGTTTCGTTAAGTGTTCCTTGGATGGAGGGCAGGGGCAGACCCGTAATGATATAAATGATGACCGGACTGTGAACACAGGTGGGCAAATTTATGAAGGCATGTGTAGAGCAAGAATGTACATTTGTTAGCCTGCCTCTGTTGATTTGTCTGTCTCTGCAGATACGGGAGACAGTATGACCAGGTGGGGCTAACAAGAAAGCACGAGGCAATGAGATGTCCGTGGGAGACTTTGTAAAGCTCGGACATTTTCCCTGGAATCTAGAAGGCCAGGCCCATGAGCAGGACTATGCACATGCTCTTCACCGTAGGCTGCCTCTTTGGGTCTGCCTAGTAGGAAATGAAGACTAATGGAAAGTTGTGAACGTTCTGCAAAAGCACGGGAGGCATGCCCTCACATGAACATGAACCCTCAGCAAGACTGGGCCTTAGCAAGTCACAGCATTTAGGGATCCCCTAGCCCTATCGTTACCTACCACCAGCTAACCCTAGAAGAGACCTCAGTAGCTCATTCAGATGTTAGGCCAGGAAGTGCAGCAAACGAATGAATAGCAGCAACAAACTCTGGGAGGAGGTAGAGGAGTAGACAGGAATTCTGACCTTCAGAGTTGGCACATTGTATCATTTTAAACGATTCTGTTTTCCAACTGAAATGGGAAGCACCCGGAGGAAGTGGAGAGAGTGGTGTTCCGTTGCATTCAGTGCCCTGAATTAGAATGAAATTGAATGGAAAACCAATTTGCTCTGTAAAATTTATACCCAAATCACAATAAAAAGGTTTAAAAATGAAATAAAATATTCTGTTTCCCATCAAAATGTATGGGACATGCAAAGAAATAGGGAAGTGTGGTCCATATACTGTGGACAGGGAGCAGAAAACAGTAAGTAAACTGTCCCTGAAGATGCTCAGATTTTGACTCACATACTTTGGACATCCCTGAAAGGGCCATCTACTTAGTAAAATAGAAGGTCACCCAAAAGAGGGAGACACTCAGGGAGTTGGATGGACACCATGGCTGCACAGTGGACTCAAACATAACCTGATTGTGAGGGTGGCACAGGACCGGGCAGTGTTTCTTTAGGTTGCCCGTTAGAGCCCATCACTCGACAGCTCCTAAGCAAACCGCAGAGGCTTTCCCCTAGAAAGCCTGCACTACCCGAAATGATGAAAGGAGGCCCAAACCTGCACCAGGATGTCAGAGTCAAACCCACATGCCAGAAAGAAGCCCCTGCGTCTGTGACCAGTTGGTTTTTGACAAAGATGCTAACAATCCAATCATTGCAGAAAGAACAACCTCTTCAGCCGTCATAGTATCATGGGACATCTATCAGTCGACATAATATAGTTCATAAATATATACTCTACATGCTAATTTACATGAGTAGTGTCTGGAGTCTTAAAAACATATGTGTGGCCATCTAAGATACGACTGTTGTATCTTGTATCTACTTGTCTAGAGCAAAAGAGAACAGAAGGCAACCAGTGACTCAAAAAAGAAATTAGTTTACACAGGATAAACAGTTCACAGGACCCATGGCTTCATCAACCGTAAACCCAGAGCAACTGGATGGTGCCCAGCTACCACTTCTGACCATCCTAAGTCAGGGCACAGTCGATGGACCCTGGCAGAAGGCGAAGAAACTGGGACAGAGCTTCAACTCTTACCAGACAAGTAAAACAAGACTTAATGAGCTAGTTGAAACTGAAGGACCCCAAGATTAGTACACTCAGATGTTCTGTGAACCTTCAACTAACCCCCGAAATAATCTTGTGGCTAAATAACAGATGGGCTCCAAACAACCCATTTTTTAAAAAAGCGGGGAAAGGACTTGATCGGTCCTTTTCCAAAGACTACATACAAATGAATGTCTTCTATGTCTCCATGGGCAAAGATCTCCGAGACACATTGATAACTGGGGAAAACAAACAAAGGACAACGTTTGTAGTGGGCTGCTTTTTTGGAAGAAAGGAAAAGAGAATTCCAATGATTGGTTTTACATTAGAAGCATTCTGATGATGCTATGCGAGAGTCCTGTTGCCCCACAGGGTTTCCAGGTTGTACATCTTTAAGGAAGCACACTGCCACACCTTGTTCTCAATGGTGGTCTGTTTGAACCACTGGCTTTTAGTTGTATCTGAGCGCTTTAATATGCGTCACCCAGAGTTTGGGTCAAAGTATAGACCTATCTTTTAGGGACTACGTTTGATTCCACTGGTAACTTTTGGCTGTAGGAGTCGGTGAACAGGACTTTTGGCTGTAGGAGTGGGTGAACCCTTTGCCTTTTTACCTGGTGCCCTGGGTTCCACATCTCTGTACCTCACATGTTATCATGAGGTGCAGTAGAAAGGAGCACAGAAATGGAATTATATTTAGATTTAGGCCACTGACTAGCTTATTGTCCTTAGAGCAGTGGTTCTCAACCTGTGGGTCGCTAGCTCTGTGGGGGTCAGACGACCTTTTCACAGGGGTTGCCCAATTCATAACAGTAGCAAAACTACAGCTATGAAGTAGCAACAAGAATAATTTTATGGTTGGGGGGGCGGTCATCACAACATGAGGAACTGTATTAAAGGGTTACAGCATTAGGAAGGTTGAGAACCACTGCCTTAAAGAAAAAGCATAACTTTCCCGGGCCCCCGTTTCTCCTGAGTTTTAGCATATCTATATGTAATCCGAAGAGATAGAACTAGAGATAATATTAAAGATTCTCTTTATAACAGATTTATGTTTCATATGGTTATTCTAAAATCAGGAACTTAATAAGGTTTTATGGAGGGGGTTTTATTTTTATTTTGTCTCGGTAAGTAATTGTTGCATATGTTTATCTTTCAGGGGCTGGGATGGATCTTGTACTCAGTGTTGCCGATTATTATTTGCTCACACCATATGCATATCCAGCCTCATGGCCAGAGGATGACATCTTCCGGCAAACTATTAGTCTCCTAATTGTAACAAATATTGGTGCTTTCATTCTTTATTTCACCTTTGCATCATTAAACTATTACTTTGTCTATGATCATTCATTAATGAAACATCCACAATTTTTAAAGGTAAACAATTTTCTTAACTACTTTGTAACGATTGTTAAATAAGAATAGCAATGTGATAGATGAGACCAAGTCAAAAATATTGCTACAGAATCAGAGATGTTTATTAAATAAAAAGTATCAAAATGTGAAGCTATTATGTCTTGACATATTCTCCATTCACTTTTGAAGGAAGTGTTAGAGTCTAAGTGTACCCCAAAGAATTCTACACTCTTCGATTTACACCATGTCAGAACAGCAGTTTGACATCCTGAGAGACTCCAATTGTGTTCCTTTTAAATATTCTTTGAGTTTGGGGGAAAAAAAGAAGGGTGGGTGGGTTAAGAGATCCCAGCGAAATTCCACCCTCAGAGCATTAGCAGATGCATTATTGTGATAGAAAAAAAATTGTTGGTGCAACTTTCTTCGCCTTTTTCTTGCCAATGTAGCTTCTAGTTTTTTTTAAAAAACTTCTTCATAATAAGCTCCATGATTATTCTGTGTTCTTTGAGAAAATATTTCAATTTCCTTTGAAAGCCCCCAAAATAATTGCCAAAACCTGAATTGACTGCTCTGCCTTCAGGCCTACCAAATTCCCCATTGGAAGCCACTGTTTTGATTGGATATTACTCTCTGGGTTGTGTTGATAAATTACAGACTCATCTCTAATTTTAATTCATTCCGTGAAAGTAACTTTGATCTTGCTTTTAAAAAGATTGATGGAAAGACCCGCTGTCTTAACCAGCTGACCTTGGCATTGCACTGTGGGCACTCATCAAGCCCGTCTTGCTGAGGGCAAGGTATTCCCTTATTGAAAATGTGAGGTGCCATCGTCAGTAGCTCTGTGGCCTTCTTCCACCGGTTTCTGGACTTCGGTCAGTGTCTTCATTCGTAGAAGCTGATGATCTTCTTTCCGTGTTTTATGCTGGGCAGCATTCCTGTACACTTGTTGCAAAGCTTCAGTGATTTGGAAAGATGCCCACCTGAGTTTTGTCTAAAAGTTGGTATATTCCTATCCTCAAAATCACCACCGCCATGCCACAGAAAGTGGTTTTTTTGAAGACAGCCTGTCAAGCCTAAGGCCATCGCTGATTGCAGAGATGTGTTTAAGCATGAACCTGTGCATACATGCACCAGAATTCGTAGCTGTGCTTTTTTCACAGACTTTGGTGTTTGTGAGAGTTTCGGGTTAAACTAGTTATATATACCCATGAAATAAAGCTTTAAAACTAGCCCCAAATACTTGGCAAGGTTATCCTAATCTTCACTTTTAAAAAAGGAATGAGTGTAACTTAAAAAACAAGAGCAAATTACAAGCCTGATCATCTTATTAGGCATGTAGACATTTCTTTGCTAGTCTATTTATTTTAGTATTTATTTATTTTAATGTGTAACGTTCACAAAGATTTTTACTATATGTTTTTATGGGACAAAGAGATTCAAGCTAGATGGTTTGGAGTTATTCATAACCATTCTCTGTTTCAGTTTTTGTATTTGTCAGTTCCTGAAAGGATAGAAAAAATAATAATGAGGAGTAGCGTGGGGTGGAAGTACATTATGAGAGAAATGATTCCTGAAATAGAAATTTAGAATACAGATTTTTATGGGAAGGGAAGAAAGATACAGAATTCAGTGTATTTTATTATATTTACTTAATTGCAAAAGAATGTTATCCTTGCACATACATTTTTGCATTTTAAAAGTTAATCAGAACAGTTTGGAAATAGGATTTTAAATGAGGTTAAAAGAATAAAAATCTAATCCAAAATAGTTTTACACTGTTTTTTATAAAACATTGTAAATTTGATTTCAGAATCAAGTGTCTCGAGAAATTAAGTCGACGGTCCTGTCACTGCCGTGGATCAGCCTTCCCACAGTTGCGCTGTTCCTGCTGGAAGTGAGAGGTTACAGCAAGTTATATGATGACCTGGGCGAGTTTCCAGATGGTAAGTAAGCAATGGCGTGTCGGGAAGGTGGCCTGAGCGCTGAGTGAGTTCCTTAAAGAACTAAATCTTCCTCTCGTTTTTCTTCTGTTGAAATAATGGTACGTTGCCGAGTTGCTTTCATTGTTTCATATTTATGGATTCCTGTCAATTACAGATAGACATTTCTGTAATGTTGCCTATCACTCTTAAAGTCTGTTGTAAGGAATGATTAAAGATAAGCCCTTGAATTGTGTTTCCTTAATAGGAAATTAAACTTCCGAAAAAAT